TGACCTCCAGCTTGTTCTTCCGGCTAGACGGCCCCCACGACCAGCTATCCCGCCTCTTCGGCCTCCTTCTAGTGAACGGCCAGAACGATGCCTCTGTTGGGTTCCTGATATAGAACCACTCCCCATGCCACCCCCGATTAGAGTCGCAGGGGGAGTACACGGGGTAGGAGCCCAGTGGCCTTGGCTTCTTCTACAGCGCAAAGCCCCCAACCGGCGTGGTCCTAGGCGGCTTCGCCTCCGATAGGGCTCGCCTGGTGAAGATCTGCCGGAAGAAGTCCACATGCGGGGAAGGCCTCGTAGACGGTGATGAAGCCGACGACGTGCAATACTCCAGTTGGATTGAGGTGCTGCAACTCCAGGCCCCACTCATTGAGGAGCCCACGCAAGAACCAGTGCGCGGGATATCCTAGCCTGTGCTCATGGAAGGCAAGGAAGGAGACAACCTCGTCGGCCTGAGGTCGCGGACAAGCCTCCCCCGCCAGAGCCCTCCAGTGCGCCACCTCCTTCGACGGGAGCAGCCCCTTCTCGGCAAAGGCGACCAACACCGCCTCATCCACATAGGACGACCTCTAGCTAGACATCTCGCTCTGAATTCATGAACAAATCTATGAGTTCTCCTCTCCCTCACTTTACCCTCTTTTCTCCTAGGAACCGCCGTGGTGCGCGAACAGGCTTGGCAAAAAGGAAGGAGGAGAGGTAACAGTTGGAGAATAGGCGAAGGAATGGGACGAAAACCCTCTCCCTTCCCCTATTTAAGGAGAAGACACAGCGGTTGGAGAAAGGCAAAGGATTGGGGCGAAAAAACCTCTCCCTTCCCCTATTCAATGCGGATGGGATGCGATGGGACGCGTCCTGACTAATGGGATGCGCCCTGCCCAACGAAACGATGCCTAATTAGACGGGACGTGGCCTGGGCATGGCCCACCACTACCGCACGCCGGGCGTAGGAAACAAGGCGCAACCACACGTAAGCGGCCCTCTGCCTTCCTAGGTAGGACTTGGAAGGGCCCAACAACGGGATCTCCATCAAGGAGAGACCAACGGGCTTCCTGAGTCGATTGGATAGCTCAGGCGAATGCTGAGAGATAGGTAAGGGGCAGTGGGATGCCCCATGCGGGCTACGCCGACTCCGTCATGAACGACGGACCCGGATCCCGTTTGGACATATCCGATGAGAGCTCCTCAAAACCCATCACTCGAGTCATCAAGGTAACCTTACCAAACCATCTTTCTTTCTTTTTCATCTTTCTTTATTTTCTGACATGCGCATTCACACATTCATTCATACAATCATTCATTCATCCTTTCTCATATGTGCATTCATACCATCATTCATTCATCCCATACATCCAAAGCATGGCCTATGCAAATTAATGCATCACAACGCTTCATGTTGCGTCATGAGGCGGTAGTTGCCTTATTCAACATGAGCAACGACCGACCGGGCTTCGAAGGCTGGTCCACGAAGGGCTTGAGGCCGCCTCGCATCAAACAGAGCTAGGGGAGAAAACGTAGATGAGCCCTAGCGGCCCTCGCTCTGTATGCTCAGAAGCACTCAGGGTCATCTCAATCTTCTCGTTCGATCCTAACCTCGAGCCATGCCCACATAATCTCCATCGAGGGGAGGCCAGCGGGCCACCTGAGTCGGTCTTTGGAACGACCCGGGCATCTGCCGAGAGGCGGGTTAAGGAGCAGTGGAATGTCACATGAGGGCTATGCCGACCCCGTCATGAATGACGGACCCGGATTCCACTCGAACACGCCTGTTAGTGAGATCACCGAGGGAGTCACTCGAGCCATCGAGGCAAGCGACGTTAGCTCAGCCCCTCCGGTTGCAGAAACCATGGATGGGGTAACGCACGAAACTAGATCAACCCCTGTCGAACCCAATGGGGCTAGGGGCTCAGGGCGCCCGACGCTGACTCGGGAAAACAACCGACCGCGCAAGTCACGGGCGAGACAAACATGGACAAACACCCTGAACGGTAGAAACATAGGAGTCTGTGGCCCCAGGAAAGAGTACCAAGATATTCAGCCTCCAACCGACTCGCTAGTCGGACGCAGGCTCAGGGGCTACACCCACCGGGTGCGCTCGCGCGCACCCGCTGGCAAGTCGAAAACCCCCCCAGACAATTCTGTCCAAATTGCCCGGGGGCTCAGGGGCTACACCCACCGGGTGCGCTCGCGCGCACCCGCTGACAAAACGAAGAAATCCCCCAGACGATTCTACCTGAATCACTCGGGGTCTTGGGGGCTCCTGTCGGGTTCATAAACCCAGAGTCCCTAATGGGCCTGCTTCCCAGCAAAAAGTTCAGGCCAATAGACGACGTTGTGGACGACGCACAACTCCTGGGCCGGCCCAGATACCTAACGACAGGTCGGAAGAGTGATCCAGTCTCCGACTGGAAGGCCTCCGACTCCGACCCGCCTCTCCGACCGGAAGGCCTGGCCTAGGAGGGACGACACTCGCTTTCGACTCCGACCCGCCTCTCTGACCGGAAGTCCTGGCTAGGAGGGACGACACTCGCTTCCGACTCCAACCCGCCTCTTCGACCGGAAGGCCTGACCTAGGAGGAATGACGCTCGCCGACCGAGAACACACCAAACCTCTACCTGCGGCTCTTCTCCGACCAGCACGGTCGGAGCCGACTAGGAACGACCGAACGAGGATGCCTGCTCGGTGAGGACCCAAGAAATCAGGTGGAGCAGATAAGGTAAGACGCACAAGTCAACCGCAATACCGAGGACCGTACCCTGCACACCTACAGGACAGTACTGTCAGGCCATGTTAGAAGGGTACTTTGCAACCTTCCAGATATATCAGGACATGAACAGTGTTGTGGGCACCGACATTTGTCCTATAGTATGGTAGGCGCCAACATTTGCCATACCAGAAGAACACGATGGAACCAACCACATGCATCAGGGCGTCAACAGTATTGTAGGCACCGACAAACCGTCTTGTACCCGATGGCGTGGGCAACAAGACTAGAGCACACACACTCTCACACACTCTCTCTCACTTGTAAGGCCATCCCCTTCGCCTATAAAAGGGGATGCGCCCTCTCCCAAAAAGGAGGATCGATCGATAACAACAACAGACAACAGACGGATCATTCCGATTCACTCTCTGCTAGCTTTAGACTTTGTAAGGCTACACAGAGCATACGTTTGAACACTTAGCGCACGTTGGAGCCCCCATCACTCTCGGCCCTTCGGTCCAGAGTCCGACCGGACCTCTGACACCCCCATCTTACTCCTACTCGTTTGTAACCCCATAGCAAACTTCGAGCACCTGGGCTCAGGAATAAAGTCACTGACCGACTCAAACTGGACGTAGGGCATGTTGCCTGAACCAGTATAAACTATGTGTCATTGAGTGCTAGGCCACGTCCGATCACAACGTACGGCAAAACGATAAATATTTACTAGTTGGTCACTTTTCGCACCGACAGATAGAATTTAATCATCACTCCAACTAGATTTTACCATATAGCATAAAAATCAAGGAAGCCATAGGAATGTTATGGGAGGGGTTACAATCATGCAAAACATGTATCCAATCTAGACACCAATGTCTTGGCATATGCACACAAAAAAATCATCGAAGCACTTAGATCCACATGCCACTTCTTTTTCCTCCACTGTGCTCTATGCCTCGCCATCTCAATATGCTCTCTCAGCCATGTCTCTAAGCTTGGCAAGCCATTTTCCCCTATGTTCGTGGTGGGAAAGTTTTGCATCTCCAATGACATGGATGAATGGGAAACAATCAAACAAAATGTATTGATTACAATGGCTTAAATCTCATAGCTTTCATATCAGTGACCTAGGGGAGAAACATGTTCTTGTGGCTGATATTATGACCAAGTCACAAAAAAAATATTGGTTTTTGACATGTAACTATTCCATCAATTCTACGATGCGCGTGTTTGATGAGCTCATAGAAAGGTAACAGACATCTTGTATTTTTTTCTTCGCAAGAAGCTTATCCTAGCGGAATGGTCATATCATGGCTGATAACAATATAGTAGAGTGGCATGAGTAGCAAACTAGAAATCAGCATATCACTAGTGGTACAAGGTGTTATAAAAGTTAAATTTAGCAGTGGGTCAACCAAACAATTTGTGGGAGATTTGGACAAAATTTTTATCGAGAATGGGATTGAAGTAAAAGCCGTATACCTTGATTCTACACTGGTAGAATAGTACAACTACTGATAGTGGTGGGATAAAAGAAGGTAAGAGAGGGATGAAAAATAGTTTTAAGCAAAAAAAAAAAAAAAAGGAATCATCGACAATAGCTATGTAGAGTGTGTGCATGGAGAGAGAACCAATATAATCAAACAAGGTACAAAATCATTTATAATGAAAATGTTCAAGTAAAATAAAATTAATTGTTATAGTAGGAAAACACTAGATATCCGTGCTACTTGTGCGGACCATCTTGCTAGTTTAAGTATTTTGTTGCCACACTATTTTTGTACGCTCTGTTTGGACTTTGGAAGACAATAATTTTAGCAGGATTTTGTCAACCGTACACTAGATGGAGAGTACAAATCATTCCAAGCGAAGATAATATATATCTATTTTACAAAATAAAAAACAAAGAGATAGGACATATACGTCCCTTTGATCACAACATGTATAGGCCACTACTATAATACAACTAGCTAGGAACGGAATACATGTTCAGGAAACATCTGAGCATCTACAAAAGTATTTGTAAAACCCACTCTTTAAATCATCATTTGAAGAGTCATTTAAACAAAATTATTTTCTATAATACACCCGGCATCCCGTGGAAGAAGTTCCAACAGTTTTTCTATATCTTATTTACGTTTTTCGTTTTCTGTCTTTGGTTAGCGAGAAATCCAAAATAAAAGAAAACTATAGTTGGGTAACCAATTTAAGAAGTTATTGTAGAATATTTTTTTTATCAAAATACTAGCAATCCGAAAGGATATAGAGTCTTTTAGGGTTGCTCTAGCCGTTCTAACTTCACTGCACGCCTCTCCTTTCAGCTACGAGTACTAGAGGATTCTTCCTGTGCACGGTCAGCCCGGTCTCCTGCTCCAGATCAACCTCGCCATGCGGCGCGCGCCAGTCAAGGCAAAACAGCAGGTTGGCCAGCAGCAGCTCGACCACAGAGGTGGCGAAGTGCACGCCGGGGCAGCTCCTCCGGCCGACCCCGAACGGCACTAGCGAGAAGCTGTCGTGCCACGGCTTGTGGTCGCTGAGGTCCGCCATCTCCTCGTGCCGCTCCGGCACGAACCGCGCCGCGTCCGGCCCCCACGCGTCGGGGTCCTGCCCGATGGCCTTGGCGTTCACGAACACCCGCGTCCTGGCCGGTATCTCGCAGCCGTACACCGTGCAGGGCTCGATGGTCTCCCGGGGCACCAGCAGCGGCACCGGCGGGTGCACCCGCATCGACTCCCTGATGACTTGCTTCAGGTACTTGAGCCGCGGGAGATCAGATTCCCGGACTATGTCTTTGCCAACCACGGCGCCGCGTACCTCCTTCCGCGCCTTGGCGAGGATGTCCGGGTGCCTTACTAGCTCTGTCATCGTCCACTCCACCGTCGCCGCCGCCGTGTCGGTCCCGGCAATGAACATGTCCTGAAATACGCACATGAATGGTTCCCGTTGTTCAGAAATCGAACCGTCCGCCGATCGATCGAGAAACTTGTGAAACCTAACATGCAAGCGCGTATGAAGATTGAAGCGTACCGTAAGGATGCCTTTGATCTGGTCGCGGCTGTTGAACGTGCTCTGGTAAGCCGGATCGCCGTGCAGGCGGAGGAGCACGTCCACCAAGTCCTCACCCTTGGAGGCATCGGCACCGCGCTTGCTGAGGTGGTCGTCGATGACCTTCTCGTAGAACGCGTCGAGCTCATGGAAGTTCCGCTCCAGCCGCCTCCGGAGGCCCCGGAGCGCGTCCAGCCACCCCAGCCACGGCATGTAATCGGCCACAAAGAAACCGCCTAGAAGCTTCTGTGTCTCGTCGAGCACCTTGCCGGCCTGGATGCTCTCTTCGCCGCCGCCGTCGCCGAACGCGACACGCCGCAGGATCTTGTTGCTCGTCGCCATAAGTGTTTCGCTCAAGTTCACGGGAGAGCCACTTCTGGACATGTCCGTTATGGCGGCGACGAGCGCGGCGGCCTCGCCCTCTCGGACGTCGCGGAAACTGCGCACGCGCGGGGCGCTCAGGAGCTCCGACAGGGACGCGCGTCGCGCGGCGCGCCAGAACGCGCCGTCCGGGGGCGAGAAGACGATATCCTGCAGGCCGTAGGTGATCCGGGTGGCCGCGTACAGCCCCGGGCGGCCGGACATCGCCCGGTCGTTGGGCTGGAACACGGCGCGCAGCGCGTCGGCGGTGGAGACGACGAGCGTGGGCACCGAGCCCAGCCGGAGCAGCATGAGCGGCGCCGCGTGCTTGGCGGCAAGCGCGGCGAGGGAGTCATGCGGGGCCGTGCCCAGCTGGTGCAGGTTGCCGATGAGCGGTAGGCCTCTTGGACATGGGAGAGAAGGCGAGACGGCGCGCCTCTTGAACGCTGCAAGCAACAGTTGCTTCAAGTAGAGAATGGTAATGGTGGTAACGAGGACGAGGACGACGCATGAGAACAGCTCATCGTGAGCGTGAAGAGTCTCCATGGACACCTGCTGAGTGTGAGTGCTGACTGCTGTTTATGTGGATGAGCAAAGCATGGTAGTAACAGTATATTTATAGCTATATGGAGACTTTGCCAAGCGAGAGATGTTTTTGTCAAAGTTTTTTACTGTCATTAAGCATGTCATGGTTTTGCACCTCTTATTGACCATGGCTTTGCAGGCTCACTTATTGCGAGGCGACGCACTTTTCGCAATGGGTGAATATTCTGTTGCGGAAGATGCCTATGCAGATGCCTTGGATCTTGATCCATCTATTCGCCGATCCAAGTCTTTCAGGGTTAGCATTAGAGATTTGCCTTGTGGACACTTCAATCTCCTATTCCAGCTATAGCTACATAATTTAGCTCTGAAACCTCAATAACTCATGCATTCTGTTGCATTCCCTTGTTCAGGCCCGTGCGGAAAGGCTACGAGAGAAGCTTGTTAGTGCAAATAATCCATAGTTCATTTTGAAGTTTCCTCTCCATCAGAAGTTCCATCCACAAGTAATGTAGATATGCTCTTGGTAGGTCTGAATTGCTCGATGCAACATCTGGAAGTAGAATACATAGATAGCTGCATCCCTTTTGGTTAGCAGTGCACACTGTACAGTCTCATCTTTTTTTTTCTCAAACACACAATGTCGAGTGTCCTTTTTATTATTGTTGTCAAGCTGATATTTGCAATAAACGGGATGATGAGATTAAGATGTTGGCAAATTGCAATGATTTCGGTTTTTGTGTTTTTTTGAATATAAGATGTTGATGATTAAACAGGTGAAGGTAATAATGCTCACGCACTTTGCAAGCCACTGGTAAGGAATTGATTGTTGCCACAGATTGGAGGATCCAACAGTTCATATGAATGTAGGGCATTTCTGTTTTTCCCACCTGAACTACACTATGATCTACAAACTTAGAATAGTCTAATGGATTTTATTGTATATTTGTGCTTGACAACGTAACCTACTGATTTCCAAACCATGCTAGTATGTATTGAGATTTGAGAGCCATTCTCATTTCAAAAAATTGTTTGGTTTCACTCTTTGTTGATATAATCTTGGCATTCTCATTTAGTTAGCATTTAATTATTTATTTGCATTGTTAAATGGGAAATTTGGAATACCTCCAAGGATTTAATGTTAATCATAAAAAAACTTAACCCCACTCTCTATTCATTCATTGCACCATCATATTTTGATTCATGGGAAAACAATATACAGGATACCTAACAACCTCTTGGAGTTCATACACATTCTCTCGGTTTTCTTTTTTCTCAGTCAGAGACTCAGATCATCATTTTCTGATATCCTATCAATTGCCTCAGTTCAGTAGGAGGGACTAACCAGTCATGATTTCAATAATAGTTATTCTCACTCTCGTCCTCTTTTTTATTCTTATGGAACAGTATAAAGTTATCTACCTTTTCGTTAGCAGGGCTTCTGGAATTTTGTAATGGTTTCATTTGGACTGATGAGAACAAACTACTAAGTTTCAACTACAAGTGCTTTGAAGGTGACGGCAATGCAACATGGTCATTTGCTTGCACTCAGCTGATATGTTCATCTTTTTTGGATTCATACCGAACAGATGTTGTCACAATATATTGTTGGGTAAGTATTTCCATGCTTTGGCACTTCATGTGATGAAAATTTAGTATCAAATCAAGTACTCCTGTAATCTGTATTCATTTGCATTTTGCAATTAGAAACTATTCAGATATTTATACATAGTTTCCGGGAAAAGTTGCAGTTTTTATTCATTGTGCTTCTGAGTATTTGTGACCATTGATGTCCTTTGCAGAAAATAGTTTAGCATCCCTTTGATTGTACCTTTTATCATTCTTTTATCTCACCTTGTGTTCCTTGTGCATCTCTTAGGTAGAACCTTTCTTAATCTTGGCCCCTTTGGGTGTTATTCTGCGTAGTGGTAGCTTTTTTAAGTCCTGTTACGTATCCCAATAATCTAGGACGATTATTCTAAGTTTTGGTTGAATTAAAAATGGTGCCTTCTCCCTTGACCTAACCAAAGAAAGAAAAATGTTTTAACCAAGGCTTGTGATCCAGACGATTAAGTTTAGCATACACATGGGGTACGCATGTTGGCAGCAGATGGCTTGTGCTCATTTTAAGGACCTCATGGTGTGCTGGCATTTGAAAGAGTCCTTTCCCCTCTTTTCGTGGTGTGGCTTTCTGAAGTTACAACTAACTGCTGCACACATACATCATGAGAATTTGTATAACGTCCTTCACTGACAGTTTACCTTTTGTTGGCATTGTGGTTGGTAATTATTGTTGGTATTTTGACACAATATTAGTTGGTGGGTTAGTTAATACATAAAATTGTCCAATGCTATTAAACATCAAGAACTGCTGGTCTTTTTTACTTACAAAAGCCGTTTGTAAGCATGCTCAAATAATGGTTTCTCCAAGCTTGGTCTCTTAAGCTTTCTCTCAACATATAAAAGGAAAGAGGGAAGAACTGGACAGATAAGGAGAAAATATGATTGAGGTCAGTAGTTACAAAGCACATTTAGCAAATCTAATAGTTAGCATTTACAAAACAGCACTGAGCACTGGTTTTGTAGGATTCAAATTGTAGCAGCTGCTTGATGCCTGGCATTTTCAATTTCTTTATCTTTTTAGGTGATATATCCATTATTTTATTTTATTTTGTTTATGAAGGTATGATTGTTCCTATAAAGTTTTATCTTCATAACTGAATGCTGACCAGCGTGGAGCCCATGTGTATCCCACATAAAGGAATCAGTCCTTTTGCACCCATATTTTTTTGGGAAGATAGCTCTTTTGTCCCCAAAGTCAGTTGACATATATATTTTTTATAGAAACAAGGATATGGGTCTGCATATGGCCCACAACGTTGAAGTCTGAACTTGCAATTCTGGTCTTCAAAGCTGACCAGGCCAATTTGGCCTCGCTGCCAGCAAATTGCCACCTTGCTGAGATTCCACACCAGCTTTAGAGATAGGGAAACTAATTTCCTTCGTACCAAAATTTTTTTGGGTCCATCACCTGGATTGGTTTAAGCACATGCAGGATGATGAGAACATTCCTAGCATGCTATATTTATTATAAAATTTTAAAAGGGCGGAAACATTAGCTGTTCTGATTGTGATGTTCGGCTGATTGGCTGCCCGTGTGATGCAGTGTACAGAAAGAAAGCTTATATGGATAATGTTGCTGAACTCGCACATTGTCTGCTGGCTTTGATTTGGTAAACGCCAAGTCCTGTCTTAGACATTAAGATCTTTGAAATTTCCATACCGTTTATATATTACACCAAATAATCGTATCAACGCCAGCCATTATTTTTTCAGTTGCAGACATGCCTTGATGCCCTTATGATACCTTTTATGATGCAGCCATGCATAAACAAAATCCTATGTGGTTGTGACTTGCACCACCTGTATGAGAAAATGATAAGGTCAAGGCTGTAGCAATTTCATTTTCTGTTCCTCTGCTGAATCATCTGTGTCTATTGTATTGTATCTGCAGTTCGAATCCCAACCCCCTTCACAGAATGTTAGCACACCCATTTATTCCCCCAAGTGCTGCAATGTGTTACTAAACCAAATGCTTCAGCAACTTAAACTGTGTTTCGACTAGCTGCTAGAAACCATTGCTGTCATAATCCCTGTGAGCTTCTCGCTTAGTGTTATCCCTTAGCCGCCGACTGCCGTCGAGAATGCTGTTTTGTCCAGCACGAGTTTGGGTCCAAAGTCCACGCACAGCTAGTAGCTACGGAGTAGGACCAAAGAAAGCCTGGGATTTTTGTGTCTGTCTATCTAATGGTTCTTTGAAGAATCAAAACATATATCAAACGGCAAGGTAAGGAACAAACAGGAAAAAATTCAGGTGTAGTCTTGTGATCTCAGTTTTAAATTTTTATTTACCAGTTCAACGACATATGTTCTTGTACAAGCTAGTAATGCACTAATGCTAATTATGTCAGAACTTCATGAAGCTCACATGTAACCCTATTCTTTCTCTCTCTCTCTTTCATATCATAACACAATATTTACGTGGTTCATTATGATTTCCAATCCCCTTTCGTAGTTTTTTCCTTTTATTTTACATCGCATCTGATCTCTACTTGTGTTTGATCATGTGTTTAGTTAAGACTTTTGTTCAATATATATGTAAATCGGCATGTTTCTCACCTTATGCATGCTTCTACATATGCTTCTAACTTACTCAATTGTCATTGTCAATATAGAAAAAAAATAGCTCAAGTTGTAACATGTAATACCCCCTAGATTACACGTAAATTACTCACCTACGATATTATCAAAAAAATAATCTGAAGCAATCCTGAATCTAAATTGGCTACATTTGTGTCATTATAAAATTATCTTAAAAATACTTTTATCTATGCTTCTATTAATCACTTTAATTCATTCGTTGATAATATAGAAAAAAGTTATCTTAATAAGGAATACATGTATGATGTGTGTCATTATGTAGACCATATATACATATATGCATGAGCAATGGGCATGTTTATTTTCAAGCCAAATACATAACTTAAGTAAAGGGTTCAACTAAACATATGTCAAATATACAAGGAGGTGTGATGTAGGGGAAATATGTATATGATGGGAAAAAATATGGCATAAAAGTCTATAAGTGGATAATCATAAATTTACCTATATAACTATTTTGTTATAATACAAACATACAAGAGAGTTTTAACTAAACACACATTAAACACAAATGGAGGTGCCATGCAATTGAGAAAAAATAACAATGGGACAAAAGGGTGTCAGTAACTAAAGTCTATCATAGCCGAAGAAAGATATGAAATTATCTATGAATATTGTGTTAGAATATAAACACGTGTGAGATAGTTTCAAAATTTTCATAGACGCTAAAGATAATGGTCACATGTCATGAAGATTTTAGATATGGTTTTGAATGCTTTTAAATTTAATTTTGAAATGAAATTTTTTTTTGAGCATACGTCTCATCAAAGAACTTTAGATTT